TTATTTTCACCCTGCAACTTTAAATTCAAATGGTTCATATGGTTCACCAGATCAGCAAAAAATGATGATTTCCAAAGCCACTCGGTATCTGATAAAAGTGGTTCGTGATGGTTTTTCTCGGTAAGAAATATATCAATTTCATTCCTGAGCTGAAAGAAGCGCGAAAGAACCTTTCCACAGCTAAGCCATCAAACTGCAGTATAATATGTCAGGTCAGTAAGCTCGGAATCACATTTGCCAGTACTCACTGGAAATTTAGTTCAATTGGTGCATTTCTGCGGAATTCTTTCGCGGGCCGGATAAAATCACATCGCGGGCCGCATGTGGCCCGCGGGCCGTAGTTTGGAGACCATAGCTCTAGATGTTTGGAGTGCAAAGTCCTGCACGTCGCTAGCCCCTCTGTGTAGCGCTCTTCAAGTGCTTACCGGCTGGCGCACATGAACTCTGAAGGGTTCTACTCCTTGCGAAACTGTTAGTTGCTCAGATGGTGAAGAAATTCCTCGCCTTTTATTGAATCCGAAGTGAGGTCGTGAGTGTTGAGCTCCTCATGAAGTTACCATGACTGTGGTATGTGACGTCACGCGACTTACCAGACTAAACGGTATCATAACATAGGTAAAAAGTAAAGTTGTCCCTGTGCTCAACTAATTAAGCACTATGTCATGAAGGCGCAAGGGGGAGTGGATGTATAGAGCACATTTCCTTGACCTCGGCACTAATTGGAGGTGAGTGCTCAGTTTCACACACCGGGCGCTTTACTCACGGGGAAAGAGCCCCTTGTATCCATAAGAGGCTGTGTGGGCCCCAGAATCGGTCTGGACGACGTGGAGAATAGAAGATTCTTGACCTTGCCGGGACTCGAACCCCGACCCCTCAGTCGTCCTGCCCGTAGCATGTCGCTATACCGACTGCGCTGTCCCGGCTCTTCGTTATACACTATTTGTATGTAGTGAGACTGAGACTGAGTCCCTTGATACATAAGCTTCATATGGTCTGTATAGTAGACAAGAGAAATGAAGCATTTAATGGATTGAGAATAGGGAGGGAAAATTAAAGTAACTGAAGGAGGCCTGCTCCAGTGTCACTTTGCCCAACACTGACTTGAACTGGGCCTGGGCTATCCCGGCTCAACTACTTCGGTTAGTATGTTGTACGGTTTCTGTCGACACCACAGTTCTCAGTCTGATGACGTCAGACCCTGATGATGGGGGGGGGGAGACAGAGATGGTCCCTGTCACCGCTGATAGCCGCAGAAGGTTTTATCAGGATTTTGGTAGTTGTGCTACTATCGCTCCCACCTCACTGGCACTGAGCCTAAGGTGTATGCCGTAAGTTAAGGTAACAGCTTCACGCTCCTGCCACTATGCCCCTGGGGAATAATCTGTCGGTACCGAAGGTTGGGTGGGACACAATCAGCCTGAACTTAAAATGAACATGAGAGCAGGACACTAGAGTGCCACAGTGCTCACATAAAGTTGTAATTATCTCCTTCCGAGTCTGAGTTGAGACTTCTTACTTTGAACTGGGTAGTTCTGGGAAAGAACTGTGTGATCTGTACGTACTGAGACTGAAGGCTGTGTGGCTTAAGACGAAGAACAGTACCACCGACGTCCACCGGAAGCCTGGAATCCTGCATGAACCGTTGCGTAGCATCGTCGAATCTGCAAGCAAAATAGGAAGACTGTTAAGTAACAGCGATACATTTCTTTCAGTAACAGAGACTACATGAGGAGCCGGGATAGCGCAGTCGGTATAGTGACTGCCTACGGGCTGGACGACTGAGGGGTTGGAGTTTGAGTTCCGGTAGTGTCAGAATATTCTCCTCTCTATATCGTCCAGACCGGCTCTGGGGCCCACCCAGCCTCCTATTCAATGGGTAGCGGGGGCTCTTTCCCCGGGGGTATAGATGCCGGGGCGTGAAGCTCACCACTCATCTTCAGCTAGTGCCGAGGTCAAGAAAACTTGGATCTATACATCCACTCCCCCATACGCCTTCATGGCGTAGTGCTTAATTAGTTAAGCACAGGGACAACTTTACCTTTAACAGAGACTACATACCGCCGAATGGTTGTATAGCTACGTAGAAGCGTGTTGATGGAAGTTGTCCTGGCCTAACGTGGCGTTACTTCTGCATCTGCAGGAGGTTACGGCAAAAAGCTACATGACAACTGCTAGCACTGCTAGGGTGCTTAGTGTCTCCGGCTCGTTTTAGACAGCCTGTTATGTTTGTCTGCCATACTGTACATGCAAGGATTATGTCAATTGAAAATCCCATTGACCCCATCGGGATCTGAACCCGCAGCCTTCCGGCTTGTAGCATAGTGCCTCAACCAATTACGCCACCTGACAGAATCATAAAATAAACCCCATGGAGTTGAACCCTTTTTGAGAATCCGCCAGTTGCACAGCTACTCAAGAATTTCCAAACATTTTACGCGAAACCGAAGGTTCATCACCCTGTTCACAAGAGCCCTCCACTGGTCCCTATCCTTAGCCATATCAATTAAGTTCGTACCTATCTAAGATCCATTCTAATGCTACCGTCCCACCAACCTCCAGATCTTTTAGTGGCCTCTTTCCTTCTGGTTTTCCCCTTATAATCTTATATGCATTCCTCTTCTCCCCCATTCGTGCTATATGCCCTGCCCACCTCATCATTCTTGACTTTATCATTCTAATTATACTTGGAGAAGAGTACAAGTTATGAAGCTCCTCATTATGCAGTTTTCTCCAACCTCCTGTCACTTCATCCCTCTTCAGTCCAAATATTCTCCTCAACACCCTCTTCTCAAACAGTCTCAGTCTATGTTCTTCCCTTAATGTTAGAGACCAAGTTGCACACCCATACAGAACTACAGGCAAAATTATAGTTCTGTATCTTCTAATTTTTATGTTTTTGGACAGCAGACGAGAAGACAAAAAGTTCTGGACTGAATGGTAGCAAGCATTACCCGAGTTCAATCTCCTCTTAATTTCCTCCTGAATCAAATTTTGATTTGTTACGGTCGTCTCCGAAATATTTCAACTTTGCCGCGTTTTCGAAGTAAATATTAATCCTTCGTTGTGTTAGATTCTGCCCTGCGGTCTCGTGAAGAGACGTCGCCATATACTTTGTTCTAACAACAAAAAATGCATTCCTGTGGTGGTCAGAAATCTGTCACGTCGTGAAAACGGAATTTTATTCAGGACCAGGATCTGAAAAGAATGATTGATCGGAATGGGACGCACGGAAGGACACCGGCGTCCAATCTGACCGGCGGTCATGCTTCATTGTGACCATATTATGCCATGGCTGGATGGGTGGCTGGATGTCGTCTTGCAGTTGGCACGACCGTAGCGCCTCTAACGGTGCGCCGCTGTATGCATGACTTGTAATTTCACGTCATGTTCTGCTGCATTACGTCGCACGTTCTCCAGCCTTTTAAAGCACTATATTTACCACATGCTTTAACATTAAATAACTCTGCGTTCTGCCCACAGAGTTTATTTCTGTCTCGTAAAATTCTAACAATAGAGGGCGAGTGTTTCCCTAAACAGCATTAACCGGTTGAGCTTTGTAGCGGAGACATAACGTGTTTCCTGTGAGGTACAGACTGGATCTGTGTTTTCCGTATGGTTCTCACAATAAACAGCGACTGTTTCCCTAAACAGCATCAACCGGTTGGGCTTTATAGCGGAGATGTAATGTGTTTCCTGTGAGGTGTGGACTGGATCTGTGTGTTCCGTACGTTTCTCAGAATAAACAGCGACTGTTTCCCTAAACATCATTAACCGGTTGGGTTTTGTAGCTGAGATGTAATGTGTTTCCTGTGAGATACGGACTGGATCTGTGTGTTCCATATGGTTCTCACGCTAAACAGCGACTGTTTTCTTAAACAGAATTAACCGGTTGGGCTTAGTAGCGGAGACGTAACGTGTTTCCTGTTAGGTACGGACTGGATCTGTGTGTTCCATATGGTTCTCACGCTAAACAGCGACAGTTTTCCTAAACAGCATTAACCGGTTGGGCTTTGTAGTGGAGACGTAATGTGTTTCCTGTGAGGTACGGACTGGGTCTGTGTGTTCCGTACGGTTCTCACAATAAACAGCGACTGTTTTCTTAAACAGAATTAACCGGTTGGACTTTGTAGCGAAGACGTAATGTCTTTTTTGTGAGGTACGGACTGGATCTGTGTATTCCGTATGGTATCATCGGGTTTAGTGAAGCAAAAGTTAGCCTTAATAGGCAATAAAAAAAGAAAAAAGAGCATAGTACCGGAAGTTATTCAGTTACTTCCTGCGTATTTGTTGCAGCGGGAATATATTTACCGAGTCGCTGCCTAGCAATGGGTCTACATATCACAGTAAGTATTCAGCTGTGAACAGAATTTTTATTATTTCGATCCGGATAACCGTAACCGGATTAGCGAGGGTTTACTGTATACAGTTTATTTACTACGCGACAAATTTCGGCCATCATTCACCTACTTACATGAACTAACGTACAGCTGATACATTAGCCAAAGATTACGTTGTGGACTGACGAGCCAGCATAGCAGCTTCACGACAGTTTATGTGATGATGGCCGAAAGGCCGAAGGAATTCGCACAATAAAGGCAGCTGATCGTGACGAATCGTCGTATAGCAGCAGTATAAATCAGCAAATCAGAGCATGGTGTGCAAATACAGTCTTCCGCAGGTTACGTGCTAATCCTCAGTACTGAAAACAATTACTTATATTAAGGGAATGAAAGCAAAAATGGACAGAGGAAAACGAGGGTGTGAGAGAACTATTACACCGTAAAGGAGAGGGCAGAAGGAAAGGGGACAGGAATGACGTAAAGCCGGAAAAAAAATAGAAATGGGAAAGGAATTCGTTACTTGAAAAGGATAAAGATGAAAGTAAGAAACAGATAAAGAGGAAAGGAAGAAAAGGATGAGGATGTTGATAAGAGTGAAATTTTCTCACGAGAGACTAATGCCCTTTGACGGGGTCTCGTGAGATTCTTAACAAATGTCGGGATAGAGTGTGAACTCTTGAACATCTCTTCCCTGTTATACAGGATATTGCAGTACACAGAATGCCTGACCCGAGCTACAAGTGGGAGTTTCTCAGGCATTTAGATCCCACATTAATTTCATTCAGAATGTATTTTACATATCTGTAGTTACATTGAAATTAAAATAACCTAATCTGCATACAGAGACAGAATTCTGACACGCATCGCCTGTCTTCCATTGTGCAGATATCGTTCTTTAGGGAGTGGTGCTCGTGCCACTGAAACGCAGAGAAACATATGGCAACACAAGCGCCATTCCGATCAGAGTGGCACTGAAACGCAGAGAAATAAGTGGCAACCATGTCAACACAAGCTCCTCTCCGAGCAGAGTGGCACTGAAACGCAGAGAAACATGACAACACAAGCGCCACTCCGATCAGAGTGGAACTTAAAAGAAGAGAAACACGTCATGAGATGTCTCGTCATAACACGTGTTGCTGGTTTTATATTATAGTTAACCTTAGTGATAAAATTATTTAAATTATTATTTCTGTCTCGTCAGGACGATGTGAGTTTTCGTGATGCTTGTCATATAATAGAGGGAGATGAAGTCTTCTGGGAATCGTTAATGTTTGTATTAGGTTAAGGTTGATTGCTCGGGTACTATTGCTGTTTAGGTCTATATGTAATTCTTCCTGATTCACATATGTATATCGTGACTGAAGTTTTATTCTCTTTGGAGTGTGCTTTTGTGCTTCTTTTGTGTGGACGTTTCTCTTCCTACAGCTCAATGTTGTTCCTGTTTTGCAGACGCTAAAGAAACCTACGTTGTTACAGTGATATTGGATTGGTTCTGTCCGAAAAAAATTGTACTTAGCCAAAAAAAAAAAAAAAAATTAGGTTCCTTCTGTCACCGTACAGCCTGATAGGAACCTGCAACAGTATGAAGAACTGCACTTTCCTTGACTGTACAGGAACTTTTTATAGCTCACTGTAGGTGTAGGGAGGCTGTAAAGCTATTTAGGTTCCTGCCGTCACTGTACAGCCAGATAGGAACCTGCAACAGTGTACAGAACTGCACTTCTCTTGACTGTACAGGAATATTTTATAGCTTATTGTAGGTCTAGAGAGGCTGTAAAGCTATTTGGGTTCCTGCTGTCACGTTACAGTGTGATAGGGAGCTGCAACAGTGTGCAGAACTGCACTTTCCGTGACTGTACAGGAACATTTTGTAGCTTACTGTGGGTCTAGAGAGGCTGGAAAGCTATTTAGGTTCCTGCTGTCACCGTACAACCTGATAAGGACCTGCAACAGTGTGCAGAACTGCACTTTTCGCTAACCGACAAAAATGGGACCGTAGATGCGGGGATAATATTAATGTTGGTGATAAAGGAATAAGTTGGGGAGGTGTGACCTAGATTCATATGACTCAGTATAGGGGGATTTAGCCGGATATTTTTGAACACGGTTATGGTTTTTCGATTTCCACAGAATTCCGTTAATTTCCCAAGTCCCCGAGAGACGAGAACGTCTCTGCTCCGGCACGGCTCAGGAAGTTCTCTGGGTGCGATGTCTCCCGCAGTCGTGGCTGGGGACAAGGCCCCGTTACTTGGCCGCAAGATACAGCAAAAGCAACATAAACTGTTGGCGCTACTTTCCGCTCTGCTGCATATATTAAAACT